GGGACCACTTGGCGTCGACGGTGTCAGTTGCCAATTTGTCGCTAATCGCCAATAATGGATCGTGCAACCTACCGATCCATACTTTCTGCTCCTCGTTTCGTCTCTCTATCTTTTCTGTTTCGCTTATCCCTTCGCGATCGGTCCAGCGTTACGAAAGTAATTCGATCAACGCCACGGTGATTCGTTCCTTCCGTTTTCGTTATTCCCCGCCGCCTAAAAGTACAACGACGCCTTGGAAATTGGCCAGTTGTATATTTACGTTTTCGAAATCCGTGAGATATAGACGCGTCATGGTGCGTCTTCGAGAAGATCGCGCGTAATTTCATGGGATATCCAAGGCATTATCGTACATCCGGCATCCACACATTCCTCTTTCGTTTCCCGTTGTTCGGTTCTGCTCGTTCTACCCTGTCGCCTTCGTTGCATCCCCGACGTACCGTCTATTCTTAATTTTTTCCCCTTTCTTTTATTACCTCTGAACGTGACTCTCGATATGTGTATTTGATTCGAGCACCCTTGCACCAAACCTGCCGCGCTTTTCCTTAGAGACCGTATCGTCAGCGACGAGCTTTCGGGGGAACGTCGGGCAGCTGCGGCAAACACAAAACAAACTAGCAGGATAGTGAAACTTCTGTGCGAAATGCCGAATGCCGTCGAATAGGTTGATACCGGGTAAAAAGAGACTTTCGAGACCATTTGGCACCGAGTTGTTAGGTAATTGCTAGTGTGACGTACGTTTTCCATTGTTTTCTAATTAAATAGCTTCGTGAAGAATTCTTCGACCAGATACTTGTTTCACCCTCGAGCAAACGACAGCGAGAGCATCGGAATCTAATTATCGATCGAACTTGAAGAATCTGCCCACTTTTTAAAGGTTCTAGTCGTGATAGCATTATTCTGTAAATATACCCGAATTTCAAAGAATTTACTTTCGAAACATCTTTCGAGCTGTTTGACGTAATATCTCGAGAATCGATAAACCGATTAAAATCTGAAATATCTAATTTTTAAGAGAGTATTGCTGTCCAGTCTGCCATTTTTTAGGCCTTCTCTGTGATTTTCTTTTTAACAGGTAGGCTATTCCGTACTGAGATTTCGCAGATATATTTATTCATCTTATAAGCATCTACAGTATTTTTTTCATCAGAAAGTATTAAAAATTGCGGGAGTTAGAACTTCTTGTTTAATGGTTATTCTGAAAATGGTACTCCACTGGCTTCCACGAGGGAGCTAAAGTATCTTCATTAGGAAGGGTACAGTTATACCAAAAACTAGGAACAAGTCAAAGTCTCGATAAATAAAGGAATGGCGACACTTCGAGTTTCGTATTTCTATTTTTTAACCTTTCTTTCGGCTTTAGCATATTTAAAAAAATAGTAAAACTCAATAGTTTTTTAAATCTCTAGTTTCAACGATAAAGGCGGCACTCCTGAATATTAAATCCAAATTTGAAGTTAATCGGTCTACTAGATCTTCAGATATCATGGAAACCGATTTAAAAAAAACGCATGTAAACAAGGAGTTTGTGACTCCCACAATTTTTAATATTTTTTTATGAATAAATATATCTGCAAAATCTCAGTACAAAGGAGTCTACCTATCGTTAAAAAAAAAATCATAAAAATCATAAAAGAATCATTAAGGCTCCAAAGTAGGCAGACCCTTTAAGATGAAACGGTGCAACAAAGATAAACGTAGCACAAGATTTTTCAAGCAACTAAAGTAACTTATAATCGAAGGATCATCGACATCATACAGTGAATTTTTCTAATGTTTTACCCTCGTTGATAAAGCATTTCTTATTCAGTTTAGTACTTATATGCTCTCTAAGTCTTCAACCCTCTTCCCAACGCCAGTAGAACTCCTATTAATCGTCAGATATCTAACTTTCGGACGCACCCAATCTTGCTTCAACAAGTAACACACAGGGTGTTCGGCCACACTTGGGAAAAATTTTAACGGGGGATTCCAGAGGCCAAAATAAGGCGAAAATCAAGAATATAAATTTCTTGACTGAGGCCTCGTTAAAAAGTTATTAACAATAAAATTCAAAAATTTCAAATCATTCTGGAAAAATTATTTTCAGTTGCGGGGATCAATTACGATCAGTTTTTGTGAATACACATACCTCCGAAATCCTACCCACTTTTGAGGAAAAAAATCGTGTATGTGCTGGTATTTCTCGACAAAAAAAATTTATCAAACCGTTCTAAAAAAAATATTTTCAGTTGCAGGGGTCAGTTACAAGCATTTTTGGTCAAAAGACATACTCCCGAAATCCTACTCAGTTTCGAGAAAAAAATTGGAGTAGATATGAAATTTTTCAGCGAAATTAAAAACAATGAAATCATTCTGGAAAAATTATTTTTAGCTGCGGGGGTCAATTACAATCACTTTTCGTGAATAGACATACCCCCGAAATCGTACTCAGTTTCGAGAAAAAAATTCGAGTAAGTGCCGAAATTTTTCGGTGAAAAAAAAAATTTCAAATCGTTCTAGAAAAAATATTTTCAGTTGCAGGGGTCAGTTACAAGCATTTTTGGTCAAAAGACATACCCCCGAAATCCTACTCAGTTTCGAGAAAAAAATTCCATAAGGTATGACATTTTTCGACAAAATTAAAAAATTTCAAATCTATCTGGAAAAATTATTTTCGGTTGTGGGGGCCAATTACAATAATTTTTGGTCATTAGACATGCCCCGAAATCCTGCGCATTTTCGAGAAAAAAATTCAGTACGGGTGAAACTTTAAACGTTAATAACTTTTTAACGAAGCCTCCATCAACAAATTGGTATTCTTGATTTTCGTCGTATTTTGGCCTCTAGAATGCCCCATTAAAATTTTTCCCAGGGGTGGCCGAACACCCTGCATAGTAGACTCCCGGTTATCCGGCCTTGTTTTAACCGGTCACAATTTTCATTGGATGAGAACATTCGATCGGCAAAAAGATCATTGACACACCATCTAAATGTACTTTCTACCGTATTGGTTGTTCCTTAAACGGTCTTTCGTTAATTTGATCTGATCCGTACAACCACTAAAATGTTCACCACCAGTAAGTGTACAATCTGTATATTGTATCAATCTTACGCGCATGTTTTGTTCATTGACAATTGACTAACGATAATATATTAATATGCGTATATGTATATTTTGAATATTGACATAGAGGTCGGTTAAGCAGGAGTCTAGCGTACCATCGAACATTTGGCCAATTTAAATGACCCACGAAGAACAATTATCAAAGATATAAACAATCGTCGAATTAAAGATGTAAGCTGTAGAATGCACAGCGAACGATTCGATCGGAAAGTAATACAGTGTTGCTGAGAAATAGGCTAGATTGCCCGACCTTCCCCTCCCAAAAGATTCGAGGATCGACAGATTCCGCTTGGGGCTGGGCAGCGGGTCGAAACGCATCGTCACTAATTCATTTCACTTTATAACGGAGACGCCTTGGCGACGCGACGCCAAGACGGACGTGGCTGCTGAAGGAATACCCGATATGTATTAGAACGCTTTCTTTTTTTTTTTCTCTCTCTGCTCCGCCGTGAATAAATCGTCGCGTCGCGACCGTTCTGTATTTTCTTTCATTCCTTCTCCACGACCAAGGATCCCCGAAAGCCCGTGAAAGAGAGCTTTTCAGTCCGGACGCAGCCACGGCCTAATGAGGTACGTAAATTACTCAATGGCAAGGCGTCTCTTCTCCTCCGGCCGTGGGAAGAACCTCGTTCGAGAAAGGGACAAATGTAGGTTGTCTCTTCATCCATCCTTGGACAATGGCGGATTTATTAACGCGCTTTTCTCGCCGCGAACGGCACCGGTAGCTCGCGGTCAATTGCAACAAAATAAATGAATAAAGAGGTGGACGTTCGATGTTCGCTTATTATCGTTGCCGCGGTTGGACAGTGTTTCGGCGCGTTCTACGCCTCGAGGAGAACGATCTATGATAATCACGAACCCGAAAATGATTCATTATCGAGATACAGCCGATTTACGTTTCAGCGTGGACGAGGTTTAAATGATACACGATGCATTAATTAGATCCGGTTTTACGAGGTTTACGGGGCTCGGATCACGCTACATCTTCCTCGGGATGACGTAGAGCATGTAACAGGTCACACACGTCGCTTTTAAATAGCAATAATTTAAAATTTAATTTATAATTTAATTTTTTTAAATTGAATTATCAGCCCTCCGAATGAAATGTTACTTTTCATTTGAAGGCAGTTGAAAAATTGAAGGTCACCATCGTTTCTCGAAAAATATTGTAAATGTGCTAGATCGATATATAGATTGTCCTATTGGTCGTAAGAAACTGCGAAACTTTTTTACCTTTGATGTTCTGTTCATTGGAATTGTTTTAAAAAAGAATCGCTGACTAGTAATGGCGCGAACACCCTGTATAGATAGCTTCGTACCATATATGTACATATTATTGAGTGTTGTCAAAAATTTAAAAAAACTGTTAAAGTATTTTTTATTATACAGGGTGTTCGGTCACCTCTGGGAAAAATTTTAATAAGAGATTCTAGAGGCCGGAATAAGACACTGAGAAGTGATTAAAAAATTCAAATTAAAAAGTTTCAAATCGTTCACGGAAAAATTCGGGCGCATCCCCTGTGTTTATATTCATCGCGTTCAATTCACTCTCGGGCAACATTGTTCCTCGAACAGCGTTTTATTTTTTTCTCCGCTCGACCGTGTCGTTGGGATCGCTCGAGTTCCATGGATTTGCCCATTATTCCGAAAATCGTCGACCAACGATAATCGATGACGCGCTACGAGCCGGAGAGTGGCAATGAATATCGCGCGGCTAGAGACGAACGCGAACGTTTCACCGAACAATCCTCGTTCTCGTTAACGTTGAACAACAGAAAACAAAGGGTTCTCGAATCGAGTCGGACGGAAAAAAAAAAAAAAAAAGATAAAAGAAAATTGTAACCAACGCCACGTGAGATCCGTCGACCCGTTTTAATCGACTCGTTCGCTTTTCCAGGGATCAAAGAGAGAAGAAAACCGGCAACCTTAAGATCGACATCAACGGCATGTAAGAGAACCGAGGGAAGATCGAACGTGCTTGTACCCTGCTGAGAGAGGGGGGAGGAACCGAGGGAGGGGGAGGGGAGGGTGACGAAAACGAGAATTCGAATACCAGCGACGACAACCGACAATTTCTGGAGCAGTCTGGCCACTTTCTCCGGGGAAATCGTTGGGCGGATGGCTCGGAGGGTCCAAGAGGAAGGCAAGAGTGTACAGAGGCGAGGGGAGGGGGGCTGGGGTAGAAGCACGTACAGACACACGCGATACACGTACACAGAGGGGATATTAAAAAAAGAGAGAGAAAAAAAAAATAAACGAGAAACGTCACGAATTACATGGGTGGCGAGGGGCGCGTGTCCGGCCTTGCCCCGGAAGACGAGCACCGTTTAGGGCAAATTCTGTAAATTCAACGGCGCGACGGCTGTTTTTAGTATTCGCGACTCGCGGGGGGCCCAATAATCGCGTATAATGATAATTCCTAGGTATATATATTTTTTAACGAACTTAACTTATCGATTCGTAGCCGTCTATTTACCATTGTCTATTTATTTTCCACCGAGTCTGGATTTTGCGATCGACGACGACGATCAACCGAGAAACGGGGGCGCGGCGAGCGACGCAACAGGAGGAAGGGGGGAGTGTGGCGAGAGTCGGCGTCGGCGTCGGCGTCGAGATGCATCGCGAACGTTCCCCGATTCGCGAGCGACGCGATTTCGACACTAACCGCGACACGATTTCGTTTCGTACCGCGTTTATTATACACATGTAAAGCAGTAAGGCACTCTTCAAGTCACACGCGCACGTCTATATGTAACACTTGTTCACACACGTAACCACACTCCACAGTCGCGGAACATTCTTCTAGGAACGTCGAGCCCCGCGCCGTTCTCGAACGAATCCGTCGCCCGGGTTTTTAATAAGAAACGGAGACGAGGATGCATATCGTGGTCGGGATCGAGGCGGTTCAGGTTTCGTACTGCTTCGAACAATCGAGACTGGAAACGCGCGACCGAACCCTGAAACGCCTCTATTAATTCCGGGAGAGCATAATTCGATAGGGGGAGGCGAGCGAAGCCACGATTGATAGCGGCGATGGTGTCCGCCGCGGAGACAGGCGCGGTGGCTCGTAGACGAAAATTGCGTAATATAGAGACGAAAGAGACGAAAGACGAGTACATCAAGCTTAATACCAAAGGTGCCCTAAGAAGCGTGTATTTATGTTTTATCATTGGCGCGTCGCGTAAACGGCGAGCATACACATTTAAATTACGTATCTTGTTAAGGAGAGTCTAATATCCTAAACGAGAAATGGCAGTGAATGTTAGAGAGAGGAACAAAAAAAAAAGTAAAAAAAATAGCAACATGAGAGACAGAGTGTGTGAGTGCGTGTGTGCGTGTGCGTGACAGATCGCGAGAAAGAGAGGGAAGAAACAAAAAAAAAAAATCGATTACTACGTAATAATCTTATACATATACATAAACGAACGCGAACATATCATAGGATTAAGCAGTAGAGATGAATTTAAAGATCTTGTAAGGTGAGGAGAGAATGAAACTTTTAAACGATCTGTCTTTGTAGCGGCGCAGATACAGACAGAGAGGGGATACACGAGAACGGTGGTGTGTGCCCTGCGTGCTAGATACGACGGCCAACTCGGCACGTAATTTGCCCAAGTGCCTTCCCGTTGGTCGAGTCATGCTGTAATCGTACCGTGTGTTTAAGTCTCGTCCCGATTTTCAAACGTCGAACACCCCCAGGTATACCCGCAGCCCTGAATACCGGGGATAAAAGAAAAAAAGAAAAAAAACGCTTCTCTCACTATCTTCAAAAAGCTGTTCGAGCCTGCCTGATAGTTTTCTATCGCCTCGTCGTTTTTTCTACTGGAAACGTAGCACTTTCGATGACAGAAAACTGCCGCGTCGATGCGTGTTCCTTTGAAATATACTCTTCTCTCGGTCCCGAACGACGAGAGTTTCGCTGAACGATAAGCGTGGAGAGGAGGGGGGGTAAGGGTTGGTGGAGAGGAATGGGGAGTGGGGGAGGGAGTGAAAAATCGAGAGAGCAAAAAGAATTATAAACGTCAGACGTTAGATTTGAAATCGTTATTCTCGATGGTGATCGGGACACTTTGTAGTAGAATTCTCAGAAAGAATGATATTTTTCTCGTAGTGCCCGCAGATATTTCTACAGTCCCGCGCGCGGCTTCTGTCGGCCGAAAGTTTTTCTCGAATCCCGGAGCAATCCGCGCTACCCTCGTCGCGACCACTGGGCATTTATTATACAGCATCCGCGAGTTAATAGTGGCGAGTGGTGTTTTAATGAAACGAACGAACGAGAACAAGATGTGGGGGGGTAAAGGTGTAGTGGTAGAAAGTTAACTGAACCAGTGTAGTCGAATTAACTGTCGTGTTATTCATCGGCGCGCGAACAGCTAATTTCGAATTCCCACCCCCCGTGTCTTGGATCGTAAACTGGATCGATCCATAGGATTCCCCGAAACTTTTTCTTATCGTCAACGTATTAGATCGTCTCACGAGTTCGTGACGTTCGATATCCTGAAATTGACGGGAATAGAATGTACAATTTAATAGAAAACAATGGATTGATCTTATTTTCCTTTAACGCCAGAACTACCAAAGCAGTCGAAACGACCCATCCGTAATTTCTAATAAGACTTGTAAAAAGTTTATTCGACCGAATTTTTGAAAGTTTACTGTAATTTTCTATAAGAGAATGAATATACATTTATCTCCATTGCATCATATATTTTTTTATGTATCTATCGTTTTAATTTTTTTGGTACAAACAAATTCACTATAATTGTCGGTACTTCTGGTGTTAATGACCGTGAACAATTTGATAAGAAACAGTTTATTCAATTTCGCTTGTTGCTTGAATCTAATTGGAAAATGATACACGATCATGGTAGAATCTGATAATTAGACTGCCGATGTTTATGCATTTATGGGAAATTTAAATTTTCAAAAAACTACATAATGCACTTAACATAGAAAAATATAAAAAAAGCAAGATACGAATTATTATATCCAGGGGTTGAGACAACCCTCTACAAAGCTCCGATTTTTTATTAATTCTATCAATAAAAATATAAATTTGCATAAAGATCCGCAGTTTACTTATAAGAAATACAATAGAACGATCTCCAGGTTTACAATTTGAAAATGTCAAGGGGGATGTTGAACGAGAAGAGGACTATATGTTTAAAATATTGCTTTAAGTTGCAGTACAAAACTCAGAACGAACATATGAGACGATTTAATACTTGCAACATGCATTACAGAATCGATAATCACGATTGAACTTTGCCCAATAATTGAAAACGAAAAATACGGATTATTGTTCTATACGGGTACTACGTGTAATAAAAATCTTAATCGCCAGTACGAGAAGCGTCGATTCTTTAAATTTGATTCGCTATTTGCACGGTCGAAGGAAACGAGTTTATGTAATCCGAGTCACGGGGGATCCCTCGTGAGTAGGCGCGCGAGGTTGGAGTATATTATGTGCTAATGTTTGATATAGATTGGCTATTTTGTAATCAAATTTAGGAAAAATGAAATACGCTATTTACAGAGGGAAAATAAGGGAAAAGTCACGTATCGATAATCGAGGGGGAAGGAAGAGTGTGTTTTACGGACCGCCGCGCGCCTACTTATAGGTGAGAAAAATGCGCGCGCACGTTTCGGGGGTTCGAAGACGTTTCGTCGTCGACGTCACAGTGTTTGCAATTGCACTCGAGGCGCGCGAGCACGCTCTTTATTTTTCTATTCCCACGGGTGTACGTGGAACCACGGAGGGGAGAATCGGTCGGTGCCGGTGGTGTACGATTATCGTTCCATCGCCACGTGCACGCGTGCATACGCAGAGAACCGTCCTGACAACGCGATGCTCCTTCTTGATGGAGCGATTCACGTCGAGACGCGAACTCCTTAGGGTCGCACGCGCGACCCGAAGTCCTTGCTTTCGTCCAGAGTCGCTCGTCGCGAAGCGAAACGCGCGAAACGATTTGTTGTCCGCTGAGGGTCCATCTCACTGTTCGACGAACGTGGCCTCTCGCTCTTTTCTTACGGGGGAAAAATACAGTCTTTTCTTTCAACAATCGTGCAAAAGGGTTCGAAACTTTTACTGTTCATCGAAACGGATTTAAAAAGAGATTAAATAAACACGGGTCCGTTTTTTTGTTTTTGTGGTCCGATGATAAAATAGAATGTGATTTATTCAGGGAAATTGGTAAAACTGCTTCGATATTAATACACACGTGCATGATTTCGCCGCGACCGCGTGGCGAGCGTCACTTGGGGATTCCCCTACGGTCGACCAATACTCTCACTTAAAGCGCCATCGTGCGGCCACATGCCCGCTACAATTTTTATTTTATACATCGCTATTGTTTACATTTTAACCAACGATTAACACGTAGGACAGCGATCTCCAAACTTTTTGGAATTTTTAAAAAGAAAGAATTTTTTACGCTCGAAATTTATTTTTCTTTCAAATATAGTTGCTCCATTGTCTCTTGTAAAAGTGTCTGAAACTTCGTGCGATACGTACTTAGTGTATTGTTGAACATTAAGTGGGACACAAAATATCAGAATTTTCATTAATAGATCAAAAGAATTTGTTTCATTCGTTCAAGTTTTTTTACATCAATAAACGAATTAATCTGGCATTAATATAAACACAGTTGTGTATCAGTTTGAGGAAGAGTATGCAATATATAATAAGAAAGTAATATTGTTTCTTGAAACTTTTGTGTTACGTTGTTTTAACAAATATAGTAATTATTTTGTCTCGTTGGCGTTTAATTTTAAACAAGAGCGATGGTATTATACACAACCTTCATTTTAACTTGTAACGCTCTATATTTTATACAGAATTGGACAAAATTTTATCAAATTTAAAAGTAAATTCTTGTGAAACTTTCATTACATTAACACGTTGATTGCCATGGTGGTCACGTATGAACAAATGAACCTTAATACTTATATATTTTTTAATAATGTAATCGACGTTGGGAATACTGCTAAATAACAAGTACTATCGAAACGGTCATTGGATTTTTGAAAATTTACCGTAGCTTTCTAAAAGAGAACGAACAAACATTTATTTCCATTGCATTATACATTTCTTCGAACATCTATCATTTTAATTTCTCTGGTACAATAACAATTTGAGCACAATGACAATTCGACGAGTCTAAAAATTAGTAACACTTTGTAGAAACAATAAAAAATTAGTTGCAACAAAAAATCAAAAACGGCTTAAAAGTGCACAGTGCTCTCTAAGCCATCGACGATCAAACATTTCCATTTTTGTTGAAAAAATTATGAAAATGGCAATTACGGTTTATCGAATTCATGCCAAAAATTTCTACGTTTTTTGTTTATATTTTTCCAAAAAAAAAAAAATTCCATCGCAAATGCCTAACAAACGTTACGCCGAAGACACGTACCAAATTTCGTAGACACATAATGTGCTAAAACAAACCACAAAAAACCTATGTCGATCAAGTATGTACTGTTTTTCTTCGTTGTTCCCCCGAGGTATTGCTAATTTTTAGACTCGTCGAACCGTCCTGTACCCCTCGAACGAGGCGAGCTGGTCGTACCGCCGTGAAGAAAAATTCACCAGCGACCCGAACGCGGGAGCTTCGACGAACTGGACCGTCACGAAATTCAGAGCGAGACGAGAGGCGTTTTCTTAACGTTGAAACGGTAAACGCGGCTCGTCGGTCAGTGAGATCGCCCGATGGAAGTATGCTGGCTATCACCGTCACAGGCTCGATCAGTGCTCAGCGAACGGTTTTGAAATTAGCCCGAGCCGATGTTTCGCGCGCTAACGACGCCCGCGATGGTTTTAATTTCGAAAGTACGTCGCCCTAACCGGCGACAAGATAGAAAAATGGGGGGTGGGGGTGGTTAGGGGGAGACAAAAGTGGGAGACAAAAGTAACGTGGTTTCAGGGTTGTCACTCTTCTGATACATATCATTAGATCGTTAA